TGAAAGAGCCGAAAGGGGTGAAGCGGTTGCGATCTGACGAAAGCGGTGCCGATAGGCCGAAAGCGGGTGAAAGCGGACCAAGCGGGTGGCGTCCGAAAGAGGGTGACAGAGGACTAAAGAGGTTGCGAGGACGAAAGGTTGTGAGAGGGAATGCCCGAGGGTGAAAGCGGGTTGCGCGATGCCGGTGTGCGAGAGAACGCGCGGTGAGGAGCCGAACGCATTGGTGAAAAAGACAAAAAGGGTGAAAGAGGGCGAAGCGGACGAAAGAGGATGAAGAAGTGCGAAGAGGGTGAAAGCGGACGAAAGAGTGTGAAAGAGGACGAAGGGGGTGAGAGGGAATGAAAGAGGGTTAAAGAGGGTTGAGAGAGAATGAAAGCGCTTAAAAAGGACGAAAGGAGGTGAGAGAGGGCGAAAGAGGGTGAAAGAGTGAGAGAGGACGAAATAGGGTGAAAGAGGGTGAAGAGAGGACAAGAGGGTGAGAGAGGACGAAAGAGGGTGAAGAGTGAAAGAGGGGTGGAGTGTGGTGGGGTTGTGTGGGTAAGGGTGGCAGTGGTGGGGGGGATGTGGGAGGGAAAGGGTGGGTGGAAGTTGAGGGAGGTGTGAGTGAAAGGTGAGAGAGATTTATACGCGGATAGAGAGAAGCGAAAAGAAGAAGAAAAGAAGAAGAAGAAGACGACGTTACTTCATTTTTCATGAAAAACGTCACTTTTTGACCGCTTGTATCTCCAGAACGGCTTGACCCGATTTTATTTTTTTCTTGGCTCAAATTACTCGTGGCGATGCCGCCTTCAGGTTATATTACGTGCAATTCAAAATTTTTTATATTTTAGTAGTTCTACACCCCAAAAATGGACTTTGATGTGCAGGATAAGGAGACTTGTAGTGTCTTTTAAGGTCTTTTAGGGTTTGAACATGGCCGGAGACACTACACCGGCGTCTCCTGATATATCTATTTTAAGTAGTTAGGTACTAATTCAGCTAGGTTTATTATTATTGTTGTAAATAAAATAACATTAAATATTAACCTAATGTATTATTACATAAAATTGTATTTTAATCAAAACATTCTGAATTATTTACATTATAGAATTAAAAGAATTTTTAATAACTAATAGATCAGCCAAAAGCAAAGTCATGGAAAGTGAAACAGCAATTATACAAAGAGATGCAGCAGGAAATATTTTAATTGATGAATATGGATTCTTTACTTGCATTTCTGAAGGTAAGTCAAATTATCTATCATATAAAATATGAAAGTAATTAAGAAATCAACAAAAATTAAAATTTATATATAATTTTTTAGGTCGAGCAACATGTGCACATGAAACGTAAGTTATTATATTTTAATTGAAGAATTAATATAATGTATCTACATAATAATATAATACATTTATATATACTCATGCACTAAGATTTCTTGCTTTAAATTTTTTCAATCCTATCTTAAAAAACCTTTAGTAGGAAATGTTTTTTATAATATAACATGCATTATTATAAGAATTGACAGTATTATTGGGAGTAAACATAATATTGAACCTCTAATTGTATCTGGAAATAAGGCACAATACTGAGAACAGAACTAATACCTACGTAAGTTTATTAGTTGTGTTTAATAATTGTGTATTATTTCTTATATTAGATAATATTATATAATCTTTACATAATAATTACTAAAGTTTAGTTAATGATTAAGGGTCAACAGGCGACATGGTGGAGACGCCTATCGGTCGGCCGGAATTACAGATTCTTATTTTCCAGATATTAGCCAAAATATTGAATGAATCTTATTAAATTTAAGATATTCTTAATCAGTAAGCTCATTTGTAGTCCTCTAACGAGCTATTTTATGAAAAAAAGATAAAATAAAAATTTTTAATAAACTTGGGGGAATGCGCAGCTGAGAACGGGTAAGGTTGGGTTAGCCGCGAGTCCGTATTTTATTTATATAAATTTTAGAAGCGAAAATGTAATATCCGGCCTTTTAGAAGACGCTTTATTATATAAAGAATATATTTAAAAATTCACGCGAGATATGTCACTTATTTTATGACTATCTGCAATAAGATTCTCACTAGATTCATAAAGAGCAGGGGAAATTTCTATGGTAACATACTGACTGCTGACAAGGAGAGAGCATCATTCCATCTTTGTCTCTCTTACATCGCATATGTAGTAGCGTCCATGTAGGTACAAACACTAATACTGAGCACACGGATGCAAATATTTATAGATAATGTCAGCAAAAAGGCTATCATTTTAATTTTATTTTTTTGTATATGTATGCATATGTAATAAAAACAAAAATAAAAACTATTTTAAATAATAAGAATCTATTTGTGTGTGTGTGTGTGTAATTAAAAATTAATAAAAAAATATTTTTTAAATATTTAAAAATATTTTTTTAAGATTAATTGAGGCAAAGAATTTTAATATAAAAAAATATTTTAATATTCTTTTTCAATTAATTTTTAAAACAATTTTAAAAATATTTTTATATATTCAAATCCTAAAAAAATCATAAAATGAAAAGGTCAGAGGCCATGTTCAAAAGAAAAGTACTCAAAAATTTAAACGATCTAATAATAAATTATCACGAAAAGTAACTGATATGTTATTCAAGGTGCCATGTTCAAAGTAAACATACGTAAAGTGTATATTATCTAAATTTAGTAATAATATATTACCATGAAAAGTAACTGTGATATTTTATTCAAGGTGCAAGTTCACATTGAATATACATACATATAGTAAAACTGATTACAATTTGATTCTAGAAAATAAGTGCAATATGTTATTCTTAGTGCACAAAATATAATAGTCGTTTATAGAGATTTGATTTGAAATTCATACTAGCCCGTACAATGAAAAATAATTGCTCGTAATGCCAGAGTACCAATTTGTTAATACTGACTCAGAAAAATAAATGGCGGCCTGCTCTCAAAAAACTTTTGATGGGTAGAATAAATAATTGAAAATAAGAGTTGTGAAAATTGTATAAATTAAAAACCTCCAATCTTTCTTTAGTAAAATTTCGAATTTCGTATCAACTTCCGATTTGTGTTTACCGTATTTTCAGGGAGTAAGTTATTGATCAGAAAACTTTGCCTTGTTGCTCGAAACGGGTGTATATTAAGTAAAATTTATAAATGTACAGTTCTCAGGTCAACTACAATAAAGCTATACGCTTAAAAAGTTTACTGATTATTTGTCGTAATATACAATAAAAAATACATATTAATTATTCAAGATACAAGTGAGAAATAAATATCATTAAAATATACAAAAAAAATATATCAATTTGACTCTGAAAAGTAAGTGACATGGTTCTCAAAGTGCACGGTTTCATTTGTCTTACAATTTTTTCAGAAACACAGACGAAAAAGGTATTTGTATATAGTTTTGTATATTCACTTTGTTGTGTGTGTAGAGCTTTTAAAAATACGTTGAATTTTTATTCTAATCTAATCTTCTTCTAATGTAATACTTTTCGTATTTCAAATGTTGTAGTAATTATTCTGTAAGAGCTTTGACATTATTTCTAAATGGACATCGAGAAACATCATAGTTTTTTGAGAGCAGGCCGCCATGTTATTTTTCTGAGTCATTAACAAATTGGTACTCTGGCATTACGAGCAATTATTTTTCATTGTACGGGCTAGTATGAATTTCAAATCAAATCTCTATAAACGACTATTATATTTTGTGCACTAAGAATAACATATCGCACTTATTTTCTAGAATCAAATTGTAATCAGTTTTACTTATATGTATGTATATTCAATGTGAACTTGCACCTTGAATAAAATATCACAGTTACTTTCATGGTAATATATTATTACTAAATTAGATAATATACACTTTACGTATGTTCACTTTGAACTGGCACCTTGAATAACATATCAGTTACTTTTCGTGATAATTTATTATTAGATCGTTTAAATTTTTGAGTACCTTCTTTTGAACATGGCCTGACCTTTTCATTTTTATGATTTTTTTAGGATATGTATATATATATTATAAAAAAATTGATATTGATATATTTGAACTCTAATTTATATACTGGATGATATACTGAACATCCTTGCATTGATTATACATTACTCAACGTCCTTTCACGTTATAAGTATTTGGAGCAAATTATACAATAGCATCAATAATAAAAAGAAATCAAGAATAATCAACATATATATATATACGCACATATGTGCATAACCATATATACAATTTCCAAAAAGTGGGTGCTTATTAGCCTTGCTAAGCTACTGCCTTCTGCTACGGAAGGCCAGAAAGCATTTTCAGGCGGCATCTCGCGTATACCGGCACGGTAGAGGAACAAGGAGAACACGTGATTATCGGTCCTTGTCTCTCTACGGTGCGTCCGCGTGAGCAATGCAATGGTATATGTACGTGTACAGACATGCACCACTACATAAAACCCGAGAATTGGTTTCTCGGCGTTGGCAACACTGAAATCGGAGTTTCGCGTTGTCACCGCGCGAGGTCTCCAACATCAATTAATAATTGCAAACAAAATGAGAGAAAAAAGAAATAATTTATTAAAAGCTTTTCTTGATAAAGAAACTAAATAACTAATTAAAAGTTAAAGACTTAAAATTTTATAGCTTATTTTTGTTTTGTTTTTGGCATTATTGCACAATTTAATGCAATACTATTTCTTTTGTTTTAAATATTAGCTTAATAAATAACTTTTTTATGTTGTAATAAAATAAAAAATTTATCATTTACAATGGGTCTATTTTGTTTATAATGGACCAATGATAGTGTCTGCTGCTATGTCCTTCACTAGTATTGCTTCTGGCCTATTTTAATCTATTATGGTAACACATGAGCGGGAGGTGTCTGCAAGTTGTCTCCAGGTTTCTAACCAATGCCTTACGGATGTGACGATGGTAAATTCGAAGTACTGACGCTGGGCTTTATTGCAACTCCAGTCGCCATAACGATGTTTGAAGGCTGACCGGCCGGCATCCCCACAGGTACACTTGGTGTGCGTTCCGTGTTGCGCATGAAGCGCGTAGAGTGCACAGAAAGTCGTTCCGAGTTAGCTATTGCGCGCTTCGAAAGCGCTTCGAGAGAGCTATGAATTCCCTAGAGTGTACTAACCGTACTGAATTCTTAGCACTCCTCCCAGCGCATTGACTGCTGCTCTTTCGACTTGAGACAGTGGATGCGTTTGATGCGTTCGTGCGATCTATGCGCTTCTTGCGTGATTCGGAACGCACACTATATGTATATCGAATCGGCACTGGAATTGCTGTAAAGTGGTACGATGGGTGATAAATTGCAAGAATTTCCAGTTTTATTAGAAAATGAAGTCATTAGTTTATTTTTAAACAAAGCCGACATTGAAAAAGCATTAAAAGGTAAAATTTAAGAACGATATAATTAATAATATATTAATTAGAAAATATTAGGTTAACTATTGTATTGTTTTCTTATAGATCAAAAATTTTTATTAAGTCTTATTGAGAAGGAGCAGAGCTCCAAAGAAAATGATAATCCAGAAGATGAAAATGTCGACAAAAACGATACCGGTAAGATTTTATTTTTGACTTTATTTTTGTGTCACCGATGTCTCTAAACAACTCTTTAATTTTTTGTTATTGTACAAGTATGTTTACTCAAGTTTAATTATAATATATAAATGTTAATATTTCTTACTTAAAATTTGTGTTAATTTTTAATTTAACATTTTTTTTTTAGAGAAGAAGATGTTTGTATGGCCAGCCAAAGCTGTACTTTTACTACTAGATATGTACAGAGAAAGAGAAGAAGATTTCTCTAATGGTTTAAAGCGCAGCAATAAAATTTGGGCGGAAATTGCTGCCCAGATGAAAAATTTTAACCCAGAGTATGAAGTTACATCAAACCAATGTGCCACAAAAATGTCTGGATTAAAACGAACCTATAAAAACATTGTTGATCAAAATAAGAAGAGTGGCAATCACAGAAGTTCGTGGGCATTTTTCTCCTAGTAATCTCCTAGTAAATGATATGGATGTGTTTGTAGCGTTTTCAACTGGTACGGATTAATCCGTTCCGGATTTCATCTCTCCAATAGGAGAGCTTGTTTTATTTAAAATAATAGTTTACAAATCTATTTATTCTATAGTTTTGATCAGTTATGAGTTTTAAGTTCTGTTTTTAAATTTTAAAAATTTGTTCTTATGTTATACTTAATGAGCATATAGATTCCAAAGATGCAAGGATATTTTTTAATGTATTTCTTAAAGTATTTTTTTAACGTATTGAAGTATTCTAAAGGTGGTTAAGAAAAATATTTAGAATAAAGAATAGTTTTATAAGATTAAATGTGATAATAGCAATAATAAAATAAAAAATTAAACATAAAAGACTGCTTGTTTATTACATTTATTTAGAAATTCATAATTTACAATCATTGTACATTTATTCATCAATCAATTGAAGCTTCATTTGCAATTCGTTCATTACTCTCATTCTTGTAGCATTTCCTAGTTCAGTGTTATTGTTGCGAACAGGTTGTTGTAATTCGTCCTGGTCATAATGTTGAATACCAACAGTTATTACATCATTTTGTAATATGCATATGTTATGTAACACACAACATGCTATTATAAATTGTGGAATTTTTTTGACGTTCGTCAATGGTAGACAATCTAACAGTATTCTAAAACGCAGTTTTAACTGCCCAATTGCACGTTCAACCACCATTCTCGTTGCTGACAAGCAATAATTAAAGTTTTTTGTCTGTTTAACAAATGTCCATTGTCTCGAAATGGAACCAAAAGGTGTGGATGTATGGGATATGCAGCATCTCCAATAATATATGAGCCATTAGGAAAATATAGGTCAGGTGTCTCAAGAAAACGTGCTACGGGGGAGTTTCTAAAAACTCTAGCATCGTGCACCGATCCTACTTCTCCTGCATAACAGTGCGTGAAAAGGCCACGCGAATCACACACTACTTGCACGTTTAAAGATGCAAAACCTTTCCGATTTATATATGAAACAGCATCAATTGATGGAGCTCGGATCTTGATGTGGGTACCATCTATGGCACTAATCACTTTTGGGAAGCCACAAATGCTTTCGAATTGTTCCATAATATTGGCGGCAACATCTTCATTCGGCCACTGAATAAATCTAGGTGCGATGCAATGAAGTGCATACACAACACGTTTGACAGCTCTGAAAGCAGTTGCTTTGCCAACTCCAAATTTAGTGCGAACTGATCTAAAACAATTCACAAAGTAAAAATTAAAAAACTTGTCACAAATACAAAGTATTTGAAGTTGTGATTACTCATAAGCCCAATTCAGACTGCAAGCAGCAAGTAGCAAGCATTGGAGCCAATGCTGCTCGTCCCAAATCAACACTGTTGGATTTTGGGCGCACAGCATTGGCTGCTGCTCTGATATTTGCTGCATACAGTTTGAATTAGGCTATAACGTTTTGCTAATATGAACAGAGAACTCTGTATAAAGTAGGATTTACTAACCTGTACGAATCAGGAGTAGCCATAAACCAAAGGGCAATATATAATTGTTTTTCTGCTGAAATTGGTTTCCTACCAGTTACAGTGGATGTGGCATTTAACGCTGGTCCGATCAATGATAAAACCATTTCGAATGTTGCCGGAAACATTCTAGAAAGTTAGGTTATGTTATAAGTTAAATTATATAATTTAATAAAACCAAATGAATAAGATTCCAACTTGATAATTAAACAATATGTTATATGGTGACACGCTTACCTGAAATGTTCTTTAAATACGGTATTGGAATAATTAGGAATCACGCGATCAACATAGTCTGTAATTTTTTCCGTGGCAATCATTTCTCCACGTGATTTGTCTATCATTAGTATAAGATACAAAGTTTTCATGTCACTAAGCGAAATTTCATCTTCTTCACTGTCACTCGATTCGGAGCTATCACTTTCATTGTTTAAAAATATCAATGAAGAAATAATTGTTGCTGATGAAATTCGATTATTGTATCGTACGGCGTCCATTTTCAATTCGCATAGATCGCTTAGGAAATCGTTCCGAAATTCTCAAGCACTCATGCACTTCACGCGCGCATTGAAAAAACGGAACGATTTCGAAGCGTTGCGCATCAGTATTGCAGTCTATGCGTTTCATGCGCAACACGGAACGCACCCATAGTCTCGTACTCGTCATCACAGCCATTCGTCTCCTGAGTAATTGCGTCTGTTGTAGCCGTTGTTGCACCTGTTGCTACTTTATCTAGGGTTTAATATTGGAGCAGAATGGAACAAGACACTTGGTCTCTTGGCAGTGTTTCGCGTGATAACAACATAGCGCGATCAGTTGCTTGCAAATCGGACAACCACCATTCGTCTTTCTCTTGCAGTTCTTCATGTGCATGTGGTATACAATACAATGGTATTATCCATTTCACCAATTTTTCCATCGACATATAGAATGGACTGAGCATTGCGATATGTAAACGCGCGCCTGCTTTAGAGTGAGAGGTACTACATCTGAGGCCTATGTTTGTCCCTCTTGCAAGCTTCTGATTTGTTATTTCGTCCCCCTCCAGAATTCTAGCAGTAACATAGCATTAAATTTTTGACACCTCACCTTCGCCTACTCGCTTTGGAATAACGTGAAACGTTTATCTTTATCTTTAAAAATTAAAAAATGGTTTTAAGGTGTTTTGTGTGCAAAATTACGTATGATAAAAATAAAAAGGATATACAGATGCATAAGTAAGTACATTAAAAGTATTTTTTATAGGACATTATTGTAACACATTCTTTAAACATATTGTTTTAAAGCTGTATATAATTATATTATATATACGTAACTTGCATAGTTTTGTTAAATATATATTAAAATTATATATTATATAATAAAATTAAGATATGTAATAGTATGTAATAAAAATTTTCTATATATCAACAATATAATTTTTTTATTATTTATAACATTAGTATAGTGTGTAAATAATAATAATATTTATAATAAAATTTGTAAACATATATCTATTTATAAAACTTTATAATTAATAAAATATTAATATAAATATAATATAAATTAAAGCAAATTTATTGTTTATTTATAAATATATTAAATATATTAAAATAAATTTTAAAATAAATTCTAAAAAATCTATTGACTACACATTTCATAGAAAAATGCACATGGTCCGCAATTTTTTTAGACGGCCCTGCAAAAAGAGAGACAAACATAGGCCTCAGATGTAGTACTTCTCACTCTAAAGCAGGCGCGCGCTTAGCCATCGCGATGCTCAGTCCATTCTATATGTCGATGAATTTTTCACTCGATGATTATTAGCGAAAAAGGTTAGTTAAAAGTCTGCTGAAAGCGTACTGTAGTGCGTTCCGTTTTACTATTTTGCAGTAGCTTCAAAGTGCACAAAATTAAAAAGGAACGCTGTCAACAGTACACTTGCATGACGTCATAGTGCCAGTACTTGCAGTGCATAACGGAACGCACCCTATGTATCCATCTCATCTCAATTGAAAGTTCTAAAAAAGAGTGCAAAGTTTTATCCGATGAAATCTATTTCACTTCGTGTCAACCTTCGAACTCAAGATGTGGGATGTATTGATATCGAAGCCGAGGATCGTAGATTTTTATCGATGGTCCTCCGATCATTTGACTATGATTTTGTTATATTTTTACAAAATTCTCAATCGCTAGAAAAAAATGTTAAAAACGAACGAGAGTCCTCGTACCACACAATTGCTTTCGTACGTGAACTTATGAATGTATATAGATGCAGCACTGGGCCACCCCTAGGGAGTTTTCCAGCAAGAAAGCGTTGATAAACGCAAGTAATGTGATTGGTTGTCAAATAGAAAATTTTTAAGTCCCCAGAATTTTTCTATTTAATGGCCAATCGCGTGACATTATTTTTTTAAGTGTTTTTTGCTGAAATAAAGATTGCCTTATTAATAAGGATAATATATTTTTTCTGTTATTTATAAATATAAAAAATTAAGTTCTGTGAAGTTAGCCTATCAAAATTAGATTTTCAAAGTTTTAATAATTGGAATCAATAGTTGATCTTTTATTGATCAATAATAATTCTTTTTTATTTTTCACCTATAATAACCATAAATTTTCTAATAACTGATTTTCTCAACACAAAGTTTATATCGTTAGTACAATTACTTAAAATTCTAATAAATACACTAATACTAATTATAAATGTGTCAATTTAAACGTATTTGCATAAAATACTTGTTTCATCTAATTGTACATTTCTCGAATCTGATCGCGGAATAATATATTTGTAGAGAGCTAACTTAATGGTTGGAAACAGCATGCGCAGTATATGTGAGCAATTGAAAAATAATTATTTTGTTATAATTAGTAAATAATCGACCAACAATCATTTCTAAAAAGACATAATTGGGACCAACAATCGATTTCCTATCGATTTGACGTATAATTAATTAAAATCTATTAAAATTTATATTTAAGTAGGCTAACTTTACATTGATATTTATTTTTTAATAACAATCAAACTAATAACCAACAAAAGCTAAAATATGACCAACAATGATCAATAAAAGACCAACTATTGATTCCAATTATTGAAACTTCGAAAATATAATTTTGGTAGGCTAACTACACAGAATTCGTTTAAGCAGTAAATGTTTTGTAGTTGAACTGATTCAAACTACAAAATTGTTGATGCTGGATTCCGAGCAACAAATTTGTCGTTTTAATTACTTGTTTTAGCGACACGTAAAATTGCACCTTTAGCCGACACTTAACGCAATTTTAAAAATCTCCTGATGGATTCGTTTGTATTTCGTATAAAGATGTTTGAAGTAAGATTAAAAACGTTTGTTGTCACATCCGGGTGACCTTCTTTCCTCCTTTATTATTCTAGGTCTAGGAAGAAAAGGTTAGCTCTCTATTTATTTAGGACAATCTGCATGCACCAACTATACCCTGGGTGCGCCGAGAGCTGGAACTGATTTTTCGGATCTGGGGAATTTTAGGAATAGGGAATGTTTCGTAGGAACGTATAATGGCGTCTAAGAAAATTAAAAATAATTTGAAATCATATTTCCTATTTAAGCTATAAGATAGGAAATTAAAATATATTATTACTAATATAAAATAATATTTTATTATCAAGGATTTGAACATTTAGAATAACCTGTAAATAATTACGAGTTGAGATTACTAAAGATTTAGATACGTTGGATAGTCATCAATTTCAAAGTGAAGCTCTAGCGGTCCTGAGCTTACTAATAGCGTTTTCGATTGGGAAATGTTAGTGCGCACCAGTGCGCACTCAGTTCACACGAACACTGGACAAGTTCCATGGGTTGCACTGAATAGTGCAGGTGAAAAAGAACACGCCGAAATTTTCAGTGCCACTTGAGTTGACTAGATTCCGGGAAGAACGAAAAAGTAACCTCGACATCTTGTGTTCAGTTAAGTAATGATTTTTATTATATGTAATTAAATATAGAAGATGATCAAGAATATCACGTATGACAAATATAAAAATTATTATTATCCAGTATAAAAATGCTATTACATTAAGTACATTAATTATATTTTAAAAAAGGGTATAGGTTCGATGTTTATATAAAAAGATATAACACTTACGGTGTCATTATCTATTTTTTTTCACACATTCTACATAATTTACAGTTTTTGGAATTATTCTTCTAGTTCGAAGAGTTGTAATTATTTCTTCTTGCTCGCTTGAACTAGAAGAAGATTCCAAAATATTAAAGAGAGCCAAATCCGAATTGCTCATTATGTCGAATTTTCGTTCAAAAGAATGCCCTACTGCTTGCATGCATCCAGTGCACTGAACTGGCACCGTCAAAATATCTCGTGCCACTTAGTGCGCACTATGTGAGTGTTGTGCGTTCAAACGAACACGCAACACTAGCCAAGTGCGCATTGGCACTACCAATCGAACACGCGCCTGACATTCAGTGCAGCCAGTGCACCCTAATCGAAAACGCTATAATTTTGGTAGGGAGACAGCAAGAAAATTATATTTCTCGAAGGGTGTAAAGTCTTGGTAGGAATTCTTAGACGATTCCACTAATTCGTTAATTATATTATCAATCTCCTCAAGGGTGATTGGAGATAAAGGTTCTATTTTATATTGAAAATTCTCAATTGATCTTGAACCTTGAGGTAGGTCAGGAGAAATTACCTCTTGAGACTCAGGTAATTGGTTATCCCCGGATAATCTCTCTTTAGAATTTGATAAAGTAGTCGCGATAGATATTTCTTAATTAATGAAGGGCTATCTATATTTCTTAATTAATGAAGGACGTGTACGCTTTTTCTTACGTATAAGTTTGCGTTTCCTGTTGGCCATCTACAGGGGTATATTCATCCTTATTGTTATTAGAAAATGATAAGATTGGACTGAGGGTTAAAAAGATTAGTTCTCACTTGGTTCCATACGGAGATGAAAATCTTCTCTGTTGTTCCTGGTGACTATGCCTAGGCTGTAGTTCTTTGGGGGACTTCGGTCTCATGGAGTTGGTAGAACAGACGTGCACTGATTTTATGTTACTTTTAGTTCTTTATTCCTTTATTTATGAACAATTTTTAAGTTTGTGATTTATTATCGTACAATTGAAGTTTACGAATTAAACTATCAGATGAGTTTAATTAAAATGATAGACTACCATAAGGAATCACGAAGATATAAATACTAGTTGACACGAAAATTCGATTAACAGTAGTCGACTAAGGGTGCGATTACATGGACGCGCGGAAACGCGGAAACGCGGAAACGCGGAAGAGAAAGTAACTAAACTTTACTAGAGTCCCGCATTTCCGCGCGTTCCGTTCCGTCTGTTTTGATTGCCTTATATTACATGGAGCACATTTTGAGCGGAAAAGCGGAACGGGGAATTATAAAATATTAATATTTAACTATATTTATTGATTAAAATGCTTGTATTCAATAGATAAGTTGAAAAGATGAACATATTAAAAGGAATTACAATGAATTAAGTAAATATAAATTTAAAAAATTAATACAAATGTCTATTTGTCACTATACCGTTCCGCTTTTCTGCTCAAAATGTGCTCCATGTAATATAAGGCAATCAAAACAGACGGAACGGAACGCGCGGAAATGCGGGACTCTAGTAAAGTTTAGTTACTTTCTCTTCCGCGTTTCCGCGTTTCCGCGTTTCCGCGCGTCCATGTAATCGCACCCTAAGTGTAGGCTTTGGAAAATAGTAATACGGAATGCTCTATTCTAGAAGTTGACACGGAGTGCTCGCAGGATGCAAAATCCGCGGTTTATATATCCTTCGGAGGACCGGACGTGCTTAGATTTTGACAGGTTTATGGTTCCGTTCTTCGAAGAATTCGGTTTGCATCATCGAAGAGGGGGCGAAGAGGATGGTCCATCAGCGAAATGATTCGTTGGCGCAGAATAATTATAATTCT